CCGTAGAATGGCACGCTGAAGATCGTTGACAGGAAAAAGCACATTTTCAAGCTGGCGCAGGGTGAGTACATCTCCCCTGAGAAGATCGAGAACATCTACATTAGGAGCGAACCTGTGGCACAGCTTTATGTTCATGGAGATAGTCTGCAGGTAAGGACATTTAATCATTTACAGGAAGTGCAATGTGAAGTAGAACTCCTGCTCAAATTTATGTGTTCCAAGGCCTGGTAGTCATCTTTGGCTCCTAAGAGCCTGCAAGTACATCTGGGCTATGTGTTGCTTAGTGTTGATTTTCTATTTTGATCACTATCCAATACACCTTGTTTTTTTTCTCAGTCCTGTTTGGTAGGAATAGTTGTTCCTGACCCTGAAACCATGCCTGAATGGGCCAAGAAGAAAGGTATCTTGGGCACCTACGAGGACCTATGTAAAAACACTGTAAGTGGCATATGGTTGTAACACTTATAGTTAATATTATTAAAACCTACTGGAAGTTATTTAGAAATGTAACAAAGCTCCCTCTCTCCTTTGTTTAACAGGAGTTAAAGAAGGGAATCCTTGAAGATTTGGTGCGTCTTGGAAAAGCCAGTGGCCTCCATTCTTTCGAGCAGGTAAGTAGGAACTTAACTGTTTGTAAGTGTATTTTTTCTTGATACCTTAAGACATGTAAGATAACATTTTACAGTATCTCCATAAACAGTATGTGCCTGAAGTAACATCTTTTAGATTAGATTTTAATGTCTTTAAGTAATCTAGTTATTCACAAATCCCTCCAAGCAATACCACAATATCTAAATTAATGAAATACTGCAGATACAGCTATGGTAATAAAATATATATGTTTTAAAATAATAATTAAAATATTAATGTTTTAAATTATTTCAAAGGAGATTAAGCCAAGTGAAACAAGAATGCTACTGGCATAAATTCTTGTGCTGTTTGATAAGTTATATGCTACATTTATATACTATCAGGGATTGGTCTTGTGATTCCTGCAAGAGTATTGGCTAACAATGCATTTGTGGCTATAAGATGAAGTAAACTTAAGAGCAGTATTTATCTCATTCACCATCATGTTTTTTTCTTTTGTTTTATTCTTCTAAAGGTGAAGAACATCTACATTCACAATGAGATGTTCTCCATTCAAAATGGCCTGCTGACTCCGACGCTAAAGGCTAAAAGACCGGAGCTGAAAGAGTTTTTTAAGGCGAAGATTGATGAGCTCTACAACAGCATCTCTATGTGAAGGCTGGCGGACCTGAGTTTTCTTAAAGCAATCAAACAACAACAACATACGCTTTGTCCAGCGACCTGCAGTGGGACAAAGATGTGTCACCTGACGCTTAACGTGCTTTCGGAAAGCAAAGCAAAACTGGCCCAACGGTAGATGATTAAAAATGCCTAGATAAAAACAAATTAAAGAAATCAATAAAGCGAAATACAATGCACATTGTCATATGTATTTCCTTTTTATGTACGCATTCACTGTTTCATAATTAATTGAAAACATATTTTAAATCGACACTTAAAAATTTTAGTCCATAAAAAGGAACGTATTTCTTTTTTCGTGTGACATGAATTTCCGTCACAAAACAAAAACAATTTCAGGGTTAGCCAGCAGAGGGCAGCATGGAGTTACCCATAATGAATGTAAAGAATGGTTACTGGGATTTTATAAGGGGGTGAAAGGAAACTTGTTCTTACTACAAATGAAGACGCATCATAAATGCCAAAACTCTCCAATTATTTAGGGTGGAATGACTCAACCGCTTTAGGGGTATGGCAATGTGTTGACTTTATTAGCTAGCATTAGCTGTAGGGATACTGCTACTTACTGTGAATTAAGTTCAATTAATCAGCTGTCAGTTTATTAGGGGACGGGTTAAAAAGCTGGGGGAGAACGTCTTGGCACAATTCACGTGATGTGCTGACAGCTGATTTCTGTATGCATACAGTAAACAATGATTTAAAGGAGGCCAACAAGCTAATGCTAGCAGATTCCCACATGGTAGGTAGAGTCTTATTAGTACATCACTAATACAAATATCAACTGATTAAATTCAAAACCAATGTCTCAGTCAGTTTGACTCACGCCTATTAATTTTAATGTCAGATGGAAAATCATGTCACCGAAAAACTTTCCATTATGTTATTTTAGAGTTTAGTTTTTAACATTGGCTTCTCACATGATTCACACTGTCAGTGAATACAAAAAAAGATAATAATGTCCACGAAATGGTGTGTATTGTACGATGTATTTTTGTTTTCTTTGTTTTAATTGAGGCATTTAAAATCATCCATACATTGCTACCTGCTATTGACCCAAAAACAAATACACCCACTCCAGCATCAGAAACTCAGCATCATCATTCCCACTTCCTCAGCTCTTCTTTCCTCTTTAAATCTACCAGCCAAACAAAACTCATCTGTTTTACAAGAGTAACACAGTCATACGACAGCAAGTGTGATGTTTTAGTGTATAGTGTAGCTCCAGGAGATGTCAAAATGTACATTAATGCTGACACCTTGTAGAATTGTAATGGATTTCATCCCCAGTGGAAAAAGTTAGATTTTCTTTCAATAAAAAAACGGCGCTAGTAAGGTGGCTGATACACCACCCCGAACAGATACAAGAATTAAAGTTGGGTATAACCCAAATATGGTGCAATTAGATGAAATTACACCCTTCTGTTTGAAAGCAGATTTACAATAATAAGGTTCAGAGAGAGAGCAGCTGCCTTTCAAATCATCGCTGTCCACACTGTCCCATGTAAAGCATCTCATTGTCTGAGCCACACCCAAATTACACTTTGTGTCATGTATCCGCGCACTCATTCATTATGTCAGTTCAACATGGCTGCAGTCAGAGGTTTAGCATGCATGCTCCTTGTTTATGTAAGGGCCGGCGATCTGTAACGGTCATCGAGGTTCAGACTTCTTTCTCACTCATCTTTGCACAAAGAGAATGTCAGGTAAAAGAAAACAAAATATCTAATGCAACACCAGGCCTTGGGGCAATGCATGCAATTTGCCCTGTAATGCTGGGACCATTGGCATTTAACGAGAAAAAAGACAAGCATTTCTTTATGGTCATTAGGAGCCGGTTGTATCTAGCTGCTGACAGCCACAGCTGCAGGTACAGGGCTGTTTCACTTAGAAGAGCCAATGATGAATTCCGCTAGAACAAACATCAACTTTTAAACAAACGATACCATGTTTTTTAAAAAGGTTTACACGTAGAAGTAATGTATTCGCTTTTTAAGTTGATTACCGTCCCAAAGCATAAACAATGCGGATGTACATAAATGAAGACAGCTAGATGTAAGCATATTTATTGAATCAATGGTTTGAATGATTTTTTTTTCTCTCTTATTGCGTGTAGTGAGATGAACTGTACTTATTTATTTATCTATTCTGCTGTAAAAATGGAATAAGCACCATATCCTGTAATGATCAAGTGCAGCAATCGGGATGAGGGAGGTTGGGGATTAGGACAAGGGCAGTGAAATAAAAAATGTTCTGGAATGATTTTCAACTAGTGTCTTGGTCCTTTTTTAATGATGTTGAATGCAATTTTTTATGTCAGGATGGTAACATGAAAAAAGACTGAACTATCCTCCAGATTAGCAGTGATGAGAGGAACTCATAAAGGACAGTACCAACCACAGTATCAAAATACTCCATTACGTAAAGGAATAGGAGTATTTTAAGCTTAATGCACTTCACAAATCTATTTACACTCATATCAAAATATGATTTTATTTTCTAAAAGGTAAGTAATATTGTTTTTAGATGCAAGAAAGACTGTGTTCCTTTGGCCCTTTGTCACACAATCAATCTTAATATGTGATGAGAACGGCTCTTAAAGAACAGTTGAAAGGAAAGCTGGGAGAGAGCAGGGGGGAAATGCATCAACCCAATGAGCTAAACTAGCACCCGGAATAGTGGTCAAAATGGTTAAAATATCTTGCCAAAGTTCAAACTCAACATCACAATGAGGACGAAAGGTAATTTAAATGACTTTGAACACGGCATGGTTATTGGTGCCAGGTCTAAGAATGTCAGAAACTGTTCCCTTACTGGGGTTTTCCCACAGAACCGTCTCTAGGGCCTACAGAGACTGGCCTGAAAAACAGAAAATATCCTGCGAGCAGCAGTTATCTGGGGAAATGACTTGTTGATGCCAGAGGTCAGAAGAGAATGGTGAAATTGCTTTGAGCTGATAGAAAGGCAACAGCAACTCAAATAACCACTCACTACAACCAAGGTATGCAGAAGATCATCTCTGAATGTGCAACACACCAAACCTTGATCCAAATTGCTACAATAGCAGAGGACCACAACTGTTGTCACTCTTGTCAGCTAAGAACAGAAAACAGAGGCTAAGATTTGCACAGGCTCACCAAAACTTGAACAATAGTAGATGCATGTATGCATCCTGCCTCTGCTGGTGTAATATTAGGGACATTTTCTAAGCACATGTGAGCTCCTTAGTACCATAATTTAAATGCCACAGCATACAGCAGAATTGCTGACAATGTCTATCCCTTTATGACCAGTGTACCGGTCTTCTGGTGGCTCTTTGCAGCAACACGCTACAGTATGTCACAAACCTTTAATCACCTCATGTTTCTTACTGTACTCATATACTTTCCAGCACCTTGCTAAATTTATACCACCAAGAATTAAGGCAATTCTTAAGGCAAAAGAAGAAGCTTAGGGGGCTTTACCTAATGAAGTCTATCAATGCTATGTTAAGCTAGGCTGAGTTCTTTGTGTCCATTTCTGCAAACGAACTTTAAAACTGACCCAATTTTACTATGGCAGGGCAGTGATTTCACTTTTATCGCATCTGTCAAGGCATGGCAAGCATGAAGGTTGACATAAACGCTTACCAAATCTTTCCAGAGTTTCTAAATAGCATGCAAATGCGAATAAATCGCTTCAGTCGTGCGTTAAAAGTGGTGATTAGCAGCTGATCACATATTCTGCAGGTGTGCTTCGTTGCTAAGTAACGCACAGAATGGTCAGGGGACGATAAAGGCAGAACTTGAAGCATTAGATTAAAGACACTCTCTCCTAATTATATTTTTTACTAGTACCATTAGCTGAAGCAGTTTTATAGTGTAGCAGTTCACTGAATGGCAAGTGATTTGGTCTTTAAGTCAGTTTAATTGGAAATGGATCGATACAAGCGCCAGATTAGACTCCGTTGTGACAGTGGATTACCTATCAAACGAGATACACCCGTGAAACCAGCGCTGACCAGACGAGACCGTAAGAAAAACACTGTAATACACATTTTAACGCAGTCTACATTAAAACGTTAAACTTCAGGTGGCTTACTTGTTTATTTAAAAGTTAAAGTTTTAATCTTGGTCTGAGCCTAGTTCTCATTGTGAGGGCAAAAAGGTGTTGGGAAATATATTATGAACACCTTCATGTTTCTTATCTCAGGTTTTAACTGCTTTTCTAAATCTGTTAAATCTACTTAGTGTAAACCTAAGAGGAGATCTAATATATCTATTGATTGTACACTTTTTAAAAAAGTGTAAATAAAGGCAAAGCCATTTTCTGTTCTCATTAAATTGTTCTCTGCATCCATGCTTTCAAACTTTAAGAGCACAGGAAACTTCTATTCCGCAAGCATTATGAAGCTTTTCCAGAAGAACCTGAGAGGGAAGTCACGAATGACTCCACTGTCAAACCAAAGAGCCCAGTATCTGTAAGTGTGCCCAGATGTTTTGTATTCATGTAAGATTAACAGTCACTGATATCCAATATTTACTAGTTCACAATTATGGGTGACGAGAAGAAAATATGAAGGAATCTACGTGGAGAAAAAAAACAAGTGAATGTTGATGCTGAAGCCACAAAGAGTCCCCCAATAAACTGGCAAGAAGTTAAAGTGACATGTGCATTTTGTTCTATAGAACACATACATCAGATCATGTGAGAAAAGAGTGAAGAGCAATTATTCAGAAAATGAGGAAATTAGTGTTTGGTTGACGATTTATTTGTTGTAACAGCGCTTCTTGGCGATAAGTCTTATACTCTATTTCCCCTTAAAGGTGCATTGAGCCGAGTATGTGGGTGAACAACCTGCCAAATTTCTCTGCCAGTGCCAGACGGATATATTGCCCTGAAGAATTATTACAACAAAAAAATCCACAACCAAAGACAAATTTGACTGAAGAGTTTAAGTATAAAAAAGCATTAGAATCAGATGCTATAACCTTCAGTCACCAGATTCGTTTTATTTCCTCCCCTTTCTATGCTTATTCTTTTCACACAGGCCAACACTGTACACCATAAATCTACTTTTAGCTTAAGCACTCCTGCATTTACTGAAACTACCAGACACAAAGCAACCTTACCTGCCATTCAGGTGACTGTAGTAGAGGCTCATGAAGGTGATGAAATGTCGGGTAAAGAAGACGAGCAAAGCTTGGCAGTGACGCCAGAAAGCTTCACATTATCTAGCATGGAGACTGCCACAACTTTCAGCTCTGGTGACACAGAGGATGAGGACTTTTTGGACTCTGCAACTTCTAACAATCTTCCCTCTCCAGAGATCTTCAGAAGAGAAAACAAGGGTGTGTCTGAGTGCATTTGTATGTGTACATTTTTGTATGTCCACAGCCACACTTGGTCTCTCACTTTTATTTTTGTCTTGATAGTGGAAACCTTCAATTTTTCCATTGAGGAAGACCTGCTGGATCTCCATCGTCACATAAAAAACTCCACTTTGTTGGATGTCAGCCATGCTGAGAGCATACACATGCATCATCCCCCTAACCTTTCTACCATCCTGGGTAATACTGGGAACAAATCTCAGGCACACTTTAATTTTCTCTCTTTTTTTCAGTTCAATAAATTCCACTTAATTGAACAAAGGTATTAAGAGTATAACTTTATTCATACTCAGTCATGTTTGGTACGTCTTTTTTTTGCAAGCTCCTTAGACTCCATCTGATAATTACATTTAAAATGTTTCTCTTTTAGAAGTAGCAAATGAACAAAAAAAGGAACAGTAACTTTGTTTTTATAGCATATTTTAATGTTCTTAGAAAAAATGCCAAGTATGCTTTAATTAAATGCAGTCTTATTTACATGCGTACCCAAACCATACCTGTGTGTCTGAAAAGGAGTAACTCTGTCTGCAGATGCCTCCACTATTCTTGCTGAAAAGACCTGTGAGATCAGGTAAGTCTTCTCAGTTGAATCTCAAAGCATTTAGTAATTGTGGCTCACGCAATTTAACTGCTTCATTCCTTATTATTTCTTTATCAAGCAACAACAGAGAAGCCGGATCTGCTGCTAAAGTACAAAATGACTCGTTGAAATCAGGTAAAGGCTCTCATTTCATAAGAAACATATCTTCCTTAAGTATTATTCAGAGCATGACTATTATTGCAAACTACGCTTGCCGACCACTTTATTAGGAACGCTTGTTCAATTCCTCACTAAAGCAAATGTATAATCAACCAATCACATAGCATCAACTATGTGCATTTAGGCACTAAGATATGATCATGAAGACCTGCTGAAGTTCAAACTGAGCATCAGAATGGAGAAGAAAGGTAACTTTGAAAGTAGCTTGGTTGTTGGTGCCAAACAGGCTGGTCTGAGTATTTTATAAATTGCTGATCTACTGGGATTTTTCTACTGGGTTTTACAGGAAATTGTCAAAAACAAAGAGGGAATATCGAGTGAGCAGCAGTTCTCTTGGAGAAAATGCTTTGATGCCAGAGGTCAGAGAAAAATGGCCTGACTGCTTTGAACTGATGGGAAGGCAACAGTAAACAAATATTTAGAGCATTGCAACCAAGAGGATCTCTGAATGCAGGGCTCACCAACACTGAGTAAGAGAAGACTGGAGCAATGTTGCCTGGTCTGATGAGCCTCGAGTTTTTCTGCACAGTATTCACAGGCTACAATCAGATTTTGGTGTTAACAAAATAAAAGCATGGATCGACCATGCCTTTTTAGCAGCAGTTCATGCTGCTGGTGGTGGGGGTGGTGTAATGGCATGGAGAATATTTTTCTAGCACATGTGGGCCCCTTAGTACCAAGTGAGTATCATTTAAATACCTGATTTCAGTCTGATAGAGCACCTATGGAATGTGGTGAAACAGGAAATCCACATTATTCATATGCAGCCAACAAATCTGCAGCAACTGTGTGATGCTATCATGTCAATATAGGCCAAATTCTTTGACGAATGTTTCCAGCACCTTATTGAAGTCAAGGAATTTGGGCAGTTCTGGAACCAAAAAGGCGCCCACAACTGTACTAGCAAGGTGTACCTAATGAAGTGCCTGGCAAGTGCATATATTTCATATGTATTTTAAAATCAACTCCACACACAGAAAATAAATAGATATTGTATAATTATTACGACTACTTTTGTGGTTTCTGTCCTAAATTTGCAGACAAAACCTTTAAGAGGAAAACCCCACCAAGAGTAAGAAGTCATCTGCCCATTTATTTACATCTGTTTAAATTTGATATGATGTAGCTCATTTTTATTTTGTTAGAAACAAAAGTAAGAGGGATCACAGCCATGATCAAAATGACTTTTATTCCACAGCTCAGCTACAGAAGACCCATCTTGTGTAAGAAGAAGGTTTCATTCAAAAGTCCTGTAATTGCTGAGACCTTTGATGGAAAATGCATACCAGCCTCAAAGTTAATGACTCCCAGTCTCAACAAGCCATTGCAAATGTCCAGCCCACCTGAGGAGTTGAAGCCTGATGCAGAGATCAGCTCGGAAGAAGAAACATTAGCTCTGACCATGTTGCTAAAAAGGTCTGTCAAAACTAGTCATAAGAAACCCAAGCTCTTTGACTTTGCCACCGACAAGGAGAGAGATACTCTCTTTCAGGTCATGAGAGAAAGATGTGTGAAACTCAGAAGTGTTACTTTATTTCCTTTCACAGCTGTTTAGTGCACCGAACCATCTTTCCTGCCACATTTGAAGCTAGAATAAGAAAACAGAAAACTGTGGCTTTACCCCCTCATCTGGATTAGATTAGTCTAATTGTAGAAAGTCCTATATGAAAATGGTCTGTAACTACTTAAAAGAAGGAGAGAAGAATCTATGGAACAAACTTAAAATAACATTTAAGAACTAATTAAAGAGACATGCTAGACTGGCGTTTATGTTCATATGAAAAAAGTGTGATGTGAAATGACCACTAGATGGCACATATGTATTTACCTTTAAAAACCATTGTCTGTCTTGTCCATACAGTGAGCTTTTCCACCTTTAAATGTGATATATGTGTGTCTATATATGTGTGTTTTTTTGCTTGTTGTGCTTGTCCATATTTGCATTTATTCTCGTGACACGTGTTACTATAGACTTTCTAAATGAAGAATGATTTAAAAGCAAAGTTTAAATGTATAAGATATGTATTTTAAGTATACTCCATCTATATTTATGTATATTTGTCTTTGTCCTCAAAATCTGCATATGTATTTGATTTAGAAAGTGTCTAAAGCAAATAAAAATACATTAAAATGCCTCTTGTGGCGATCCCTCCGTTCTGTGTTTGATGCGTTTCTTACACTTAATTATTTTCTCAACTGTGTCTTTCAATAATATCTGAAGTGTGTGTGTGTGTGTGTGTGTGTGTGTGTGTCAAGCCGTTCAGCAGTCGCACTTAGATAATTTTTTAGTGTGAATAAATTTCATGCTGTCACGATCCCCGACAAAACATCAACACAGCGAATCCACTCACCACGTGGTACTTATACCAAAAATATCAGCCAATCGGGTTATTTGTTGTAGCAGCATTGGCGCCCGGTGAGCCAATCAGAATAATGTAGTGGGTTACCAAGCTGTTCCTGTGACTAATGCGTGTCATATGACTGTGACACCCATGGAGACAGTTACAAGGAACAAGATTTAGTCGTGGATTTGAAAACGGAAAGAGACTTTCTGTACCGAATTCATTTTGGTACAAGATGCCTCCGACTCTCTTTCAGAAACTTTTTAACAAGAGAAATGCGTTTTCATCGCCGCCCCCGAGGTGTAGCAAAGAGGACCCAGCTTTCAGGTAGCTTATTGTGTGCGTGCGTGTCCGTTTGTGGTTTGTGTGTAGGGTTGTGCGTGTGTACGTTAATAATATTTATGGCTTTCGCTTTGACGTCTGAAAGGAATGACAGTGTATTTGGAGCAACGCTTATATTGAACTCGAGGCACTCTGCAGATGAGCGTTGTGTAGTTTGGCTGATTTGACATCGGTGTTGGAAAAGTGTAGAGTGACGTGAGAGACGTGTTGTGCCTTGTTGGTGCGGTTAGCTACATGCTAATGCTAGCTGTTGGACGTTAGCGAGGCTGCTGCACGCGCTGTCTTGGTGGGACTTGACTCAGCTTGTTAACCATCACTTTTTTGCTCATATAAGTAATTGTTTATGTCAGCTTATAAGTGAAAAACGCTTTATTGTCATCCCGAAGATAGTCAAATGGTGCTTGCAAGTTACAGTAGAAGTATCTCGCTTTCTCTTTGTCTCTCCCTTGCTCCCCCCTCCTCTTTCCCCTTTGTTTCTGTGGTAACAGCATTGTGGCAAGAAAAAACGCACGTGACAGTATTGTCGCGCTCTTTTGTAGCTTATCTTTGGCTGGATCCTGATAACTTGGAGCTAATTAGAAGTAGCATCCCTCGACTTTGCCTCTGTTACTGTACTCTCCACCAGACAACAGAGCAGGACACCGTGGGCTCTTAATGGAAGCACATGTGATCGCTTCATTCGGCCGCTGACGCATCCCATACCGTGCTGCTGTGTCGGTAGACTGTTGATGCACAGTGTTAATTTTACTGAAATAGCGCTACATGGCGTCTGAATATCACCTAACATTGCAGTGATGTTAAATAGACAAGTGGCTGGAGTTTACTTAGAACACCGATGCTTAGAACAAATGCAAGATGGCTTGTAGTGATTATAATATTTCCTGCACGCGTTGCTTGTGTTCCACATCCACTAAAGCAGATAATCATGTCATTTCCCATGTAGCTATAGAAAACATTTATCATTTCCAAACACCAGTGCTCTTTGATATTTACCCTATAAAGATCTGGTCATGTATTTTAAAAATTAAAGGCAAGTTAACGCAGTATTGCGGCGACATGTTGCCCAATACTGTCAGGCTTGCAACTGGGCGTCCTTAGCATATATAATGTTTCCAATCATAATCTTAAAACAAAGTTTTATTTATGTATGGAGTATAAAACCGATGTAAGCTGCATAAGAACTCTAAGGTTACATTCAGCCTGACATGGCAATGAATCATTGAGCTGAATGGGAGTTGATTTGCAGTCTCCCTGTGTATTTTCTCTCACACCCTCAGGGTCAGGTCTGCCACCATTGGAAAAACGTGCTCTAAAGCTTTAAATACACTGGCATTGCACAATGTTTCTCCCACCTTGTCACTCATGGGGAAGATATTTACCTGAAAGCGCATCTCCTTGTGGTGCTGCTTGCACTTTGGTCCATGCCTGAGCCAGAGCACGTTCCACTGTCATAAAGGTGCCCTGCACCCAGTGATATAAATGCAATCTGTGTGTGTGTGCGTGGAGGGGCGGGGGCTGACTGGCATCAATCCCAGAGCAAACAGGCAGGCAGCAGGCTTTTCTGTTAGCTCAGTGGTCAGCTGTGCTCTTCATACCTCTGGCATAAGCTTCCCATTCATCAAGCATGAAATGCTCTAGAGAGGACAGAACTGTGTGGAGACATGGTTGGAGAGGGACACTTGTGTGGTAGCAAGAATAGGCTAAGATGCAGCATTAGGAGTTTCTGCATAAAAGAAAAATGGTTAAAAGGAATTTAAAAAACACTGAGTTGAGGGTCTAAGGGAGGAGAATCTAATGGGACAGGGTGGAACAAATAAGTTGGAGGATGAAGTGGTTAGCAACTGAGCATGCAAAATTAAAAGATGGACAGAACAGAGAATATAACGTGACTGCAGTCCACTGGCAGAGGTGGCCTGCAGAAATGATGACGTTAACAGTATTCTGAAGTAGAGCAGGGCGATATGACCAAAAAATTTATCACGATATACATTTGAAAATTTGCGATAACGATATAACTGATGATATAATTGACACTAGACAAAATACTTTACAACTCCTCAACTTTATTAGTGCAAAAACCCCCAAAACATCAACGTATTTTCACTTAAACAGGCAGCTTTTTTAAGTGCATTAAAGTTATATAAAAAATTAACAGTGCAAATGCAAATTCCTTGCTGACAGTTTAACCAAAAGGCATTTCCAGTGGAAATTGGCCGACATATCCTCAGCATAACCATGTTTAATATCCACAAAACTTAAAAAGAGGTTATACACACACAATACCTAATATTATGTTGAAGCACAGTACGTATCACTCCGCGAGGCGCCTGCCTACGATAGCCGTAATGCTCCGACAATCCATCGAGCAGTGCGGCTTTGTAGCTTAGCAAAGTCGTACTGAAACATTTGACAGATTTTCGAGTGCCATGTACCACATAAAATCGTTTCGAGGTCAGTAAACACAACCAGAATTCATACATACACACGGGATTATAATCTGTCGATTTTCAGAAAAATCAAAGGATTGATTTTAAGTGTGCCGTATTTTCCAAATAACACGGTAATAACGACGGCCCGCTAGCATGCTCTTACCAAAAATAGTGCTTTGTTGTGTATCTGACGGATGAAAGCCAAACCAGTTCCACACCACTGAAGTTGGAGCATTTTTACAAACCTGGTTCATCTGTTTCATTTAACGATCCCCTTTCGCTCTTCTCATTCTGTGTCGCCGCCATGTGCGTATGTAAACAAAGGCACTGCGCATGTGCGTTTTACCCTTATTCTATCGCGATATTTCATTTTCGTATCGTTGCCCAACATTACACCGGTATTACTGTGAACAGTATGATATGGCCCAGCCCTATTCTGAAGTATTTTTTTAAAAAGCACTGTGTGAGAATTATACCATGAATAAATTTGGCTGGGTAGGATGCTGCAGTCAATTTCAATCAAGACGTTAAAAGAAAATGACCTTAAAAACCTCTGACAGGTTGGGGGGGGGAATAAGCAAGCCCAATGTGACACCAGAAATAGCTTTTTTTAGTTTGTACATCAGGCTTATTATTGGCATTTTCCAGTCTATATTTTTTAATATCCAGAAGAGATGAAGTCTTTCATGTTTTGCAAACCTCTGGCCTGCATACTGCATCACCGACACCATGCACTGCCACACCACTCCACTGTGCCCTCCAGAATACCATAGAGGGCAGTAGTTTGGCTGACCCTGAGAGGAAAGCCTAAAAAGACTCCTGTTTCCCTGGCTGCGGCACCTGACTGGGGACGGCATACTGTACATTACACCAAAAGCCTTTGGCTCATCCTGTAGCCAGTCTGAGACCTGATCATTAGCCAGTAGCTTTGTCCTCCCACTCACACCCAAACTGCTTGTAATGGCAGCCTGCTGAGGAAACTTCCTACATGACCTGCACTAACAGACAATATACGAGTAAGAGAGTAAAAGCAGATTTACTCAAGTTTGACGTTTTCTGTTTAATATATAGATTCGTGGAATTAAACTTTTTCTATGGTAAACTAGGACTCACCTGTTTCCTTTTCAAGTTGATATAAAATGGTCACAAGTCTAGAAAATATAATAAAACTTTGGTGAATTTAAAATAAATTAAATTAGTACAGTGTATTCATGTAGATTTAGTAAATCATGTTTGACAAGCTTATTCATTACAGCCTGTGAAAATGCATGACGTTGCATTTGCTGGAGTACTACTTTTTTTTTTTTTGTTTCTCACACCGTGGAATTTATCTTTAAAAATGTTTTATTTATAGTTTGGGAGAAGTCGTGTCTCAGGTTCCTGATTGGCAAGGCGTCCTTCCTCCATTGCGTACTTTCATAACTCGGTGTGTCATGTGAGGCTTTCATCAATCTCAGGCTGTCATGTTTGTTGAGTGATCACATGGTTACCAAAGTCACTGGCAAAAAAACCTAAGCATCTTTGCAAGTGTTGATGAAGATGCACACTTTGTTTTGTTTTTTTTTGTTTTTTTTAAGTAATGCTCTCTTCTCTTTTATCCTGTTGCTGTTTATCTAAAGTTATGAATCAACATGTGATCACTCGTACTGTCTCAACCCTTTTATCGCATCACTATCTTAAAAAATTCCCAGCTTGACTCTAAAATGAAAAACCCATCACAGCGTTTTTATGTATGCTTGTTCTGCTCTGCTCTCTGTTTGATTACTTTCTTTTTAAGCACTCACTGTCGGTAAACTGACATGGATTACTGTGAATGTTATAGCTTTATTTTGCAGGGCTGCTTTCTTCCCTCGGTGCATGCTTGTGTGAATGCTGCAAGCGTGCCAAGGTTCTGTAAAGACAGCGGCTGTCATCGGGTTCCTATCGGGGCTATTTCAAGTGGCCACACTCAGGCTTCTCAGAACTGCAGGGTCATAGTAAGGATATAATTTGATGTTAAAGTTGCAGGGGCATCACACACT